ATATAAAATAATTTCGTTACAAAATATTTAGTGTTTTTTTACTTGAATGTAAAAACCATTTTTAAGCCAATAACATTGTAAACATAATTGTCAATTATGATAAATTGATATTTAATCAATTAGTTACAGTTTATTATTAGATAATATCTACATAATATATCTACACATTACATATCTACATACATACATATGTAAAGCCTTTCATATCATGCAAATGCATGTTTTTACCGGTTAGTTATACTAGTATATGTTTGGGACTTTGGGGACAAACGAATGACATAATAATGAGTGTTTTGGCGAACTTTTATTTTGCATATAAATGCATATTTGGATCATAAATGCATATAACTGCATATTTGGTCTAAAAGCATAAAAATCATAGATTTGCTCAAAAATTATAATTAAAATGTCTAATCTATTAGAAAATTTACAATTATTTAAAATTAATTGTATAATTGGACCAAATATTAAGTCATAAAACAAATATCTATCTGAATAACATTCAATATTAGTGTTAAAGTATTTTCTATTGTAGTTCTAACAATTATTACAGCAGTTAAAAATAGCCCATATATTGTAAATTTATATTTTATCTGCAACTTATAATATTTAAATGAGTTTTTAAACTTAATGACCATTTTCATCATTATGTTTATAAATTATAATAAATAATTTTAATATCGTATATTAACAGAATAATAACTGCATATTTGAGTGCATATTTAGCCACTTTTTTAGTGCATATTATATAAAATATTTGATTGCTTATAAATGCATATTTTGAAAGGCTTTATACATATGTATTAATAACATGTAATATATAGAAAACAAGATCTGTAACATTAAATGTGATCAATTTAATAATGTATTATCAATGATTTTATTTTTTAGATCTGTGATAAAATTAACTTAATTTAATATTTGCTAATTAAAAAATAATTAAAATTTTTTACTTATATAGATCATCTATAATTATTAAATATTTTTAAAAATAATTTTAACCACAATTAATTTATAAAGAATATATGCATTTGTGCAGTTTATGCCAATAAGATATAAAATTTAATGTCTTATTATGATAAATTGTTATTTAATAAATATTTACAGCTTATTTAATAAATGTTAAGTTCCATTAAAGCTATTTTAGCAGTGATTACATTTACTGAAAAATTTATTATAATAAATTAATAATAATATTTATTAAAATGTTTATAAATAAATGCACTGTTTCGATTTTTAAAATAAAAATTCTGTTACTTCTTGTAAACCAATAATTTATTCCCAGGGCATTTTGTGGAATATATTCGACAACCCTCTTCACTTTTTACCCATTACTTTTTTCTTCAGATTAGCCATAGGATTTACATTGTCTATAAAATTAATATTAACCACAGACTTAACATTATTTACGATTAACAATTTCCATATATTATTATATTCTAAAAGGTGACGGGTGAAAGACACTTTAACCTGGTCACAACAAAAACTAAATTAATCTACCAAAATTCTTTTATAATAAAATATTATGTTACAGTTAAATTTTATATCAATTTCTATTGAATATTAAAATTTAACATAACACATAATATGTCAATTCATAATATGTTAATATGTCATATCCAATATAAAATTGTTGCCTTACTTATAAAATAATTACTAACATAAAAATAAACTACAAATATTAGAATACTAAAGTGCTTTAGTTATTGTCATTAATTTTGCCCATTAAGTTTTAAAATGATTGTTTATTGTAATACATTAGAGTGACCAACCGTCCCGATTTCATCGGGATAATCCCGATTTCGACCAGTTTGCCCAGCGTTCCGACGAGGGCCTCTCAACGTATTCAAATACGTCATTGTAAAATTAAATTTAATTCAATTGGTTATGTAGATTTACACTAAATAATAACGAAATTAAACCTAATAATAAATAATAAGCCACAAACGAATATATTTTGTTATCACGTGTAAACGACGTGTGACCTCTTTACATTTTTAATAAAATTCAAAAAATTTATCTTATACCACCTCGGTAGGTGGAAACATTTAAATTCCATCTGAAATGACCGTTGCCATCTCTAGAGGCACTTGTGGAAACTCATTCCACCTTCATAATTTTTGATTTAAAAACTATAATATACAAATACCAATTACATAGTATACTGTAGGGAATAGTGCTACCTCTTTATATTTTAATAAAATTCAAAAAATTCATCTCATACCACCTCGGTAAGTGGAAACATTTAAATGCCATTTGAAGGGACCGTTGCCACCTCGAGAGGCACTTGTGGAATCTCATTCCACCTTCATAAGTTTTAATTAAAAAAAACTATACCGTAATATACAAAAACTAATTTAATTCAATGTTTAATAGATATAAAGTTTACATGATAATCATTATAAAATATATGCTTAATTAAATAAATTTAAATGAACCGATTAGTGTTTAGCCAACTGGGTAACCTGGTTGCCATCCGGGTTGGTAACCACCTGGTCGATTAGTATTTCTACAAATAGATCTGCTGCCCGATCTGTAATAGCCAATGTTATTGCAGGTTTGCTGTGTGTACTGCAAACCACCTAGCATCATTTGGATATTATTTCAATTGCTTCCCATGGCTGCCTGTTCCTGGACTGTGCATGTTGACTAAATAAAAATAAATAAACAATTAAAATTACATGCACCATTTAACAGTATTCTTTATAAATTAGTTAAATATAAAGTAATCTTATTTTAAATGAACCTGGACATTCGCTTGATAACAGTCGTTTGTTTCCCACAGTACACAGCAATAGTAATACTGTGTATTGCTTAGGTTAGGCGCCGGGTATTTTGTGCACCGGTTGTACATTTTGGACAAACATTGATTGATAAGGTAATTGAATTGACCATTATTATTGTTGTTATTATTGCCAATAATTGTCACTTGGTAAGATATAAATAATTTTATATAATGCTAGAAACTTTACTTGTATTTATAAATTATGAAATATAGTAGCAAGTGTATGATTGCTAAGCTATAATTGTATTAATTGCTAATTATTTATTATTATTTTTGTGTAATAATTTATTGCATACCGTTATGAGTGTATAAAATGATTAATTTATTGTTATATTATTTATAATTCTAACATTGTACAAATTATAATATTTGTTACCTGGTAAACGTGCCTTTATAAATAAATAATTATAGTAGAGGTAAATTGATTAAAATAACTAAATCATTACATATGAGTAGCGTTGCCAAACTTACAGGAATTTCTTGTATTATACAGGAATTTTCACTTAATAAAGGAAGAAATTTTCATGTTCATTAAAGAATACAGAAATAAATATTTCAAAAATAAGCTGTAATACGGGAAAATACAGGAATTTTTGGCAATTTTCTTACATTTATACAAGATTTTTAAAATATAATTTGGCAACGCTACATATGAGTCATATGTATATGATATGACATGTATATAACATGTTTGCAACAGTTTTAATTTGGCAAAAAGTTGCATTTTGCATATAATTGCTATTGTAATGTAATTTAGGTGTTTGCAAACTGTTAACATCGTTCAATGACAGCCGAGGATTCAACGCATATAATGGCACAAGAGATGGAAAGTTTGAAACAACAATTGATAACATCTGAGAAGAGTAATCAAGAAATGGTCGCAAATTTGAGTGAATTGTCGGCTCAAAAAAGTTGCTTAACTCAAGAGATATCGACTTTGAAGGCGAGTAATGAGACTTTGAGAGTACATTACAAGACGTTATTCAAGTCAAAGGAGACAATGGTTGACGAAAATAATCATTTGAAACAAACGGTGTCGTCATTATTCACTTCAAACGCGAGTAATCAAAATATGGCCACAGATTTGAAGCAAAAATTGTGTAAAATGTCGACAAAAATTAGTGAATTGAGTGAAGAGTTGTCGGCATTGAAGGCATCCAAACCTATCATTGAATCCGATGTCAATACTTTGGCTCAAGAACTCAACGCACAGAATATTAGGCATTTAATGAGTGACACGACTTCCAGTTGTTCATCGATCGGATCCCACAATCAATTGACCACTAATTCAGACAAAACCACAGACGAGATCAAGAGTAGTAAATACGAGACACTAATGGCTGAACACAAGTCACTCGGGAAGCGATACTCGGATCTCGTGATCACTCACGAAGAATACGTATCGACGCTCGAGTCGGCTCAGGAGGAGAGCCGCAAACACCAGAAGTGCTCCGAGAATAGCGCTCAGGAGCTCAACATTGCCATCATTGAGAGGAATGGACTCAAACAACAGTGCACTCAAGCCATCAGACAATGGGATAAAACCCTCCGAGAGGTCAACGATCTGAAGGAACAGCTGACCAGATGTAAGGGCCAGAGGGATGAGGCGCTCAAAGAGATCACTCAAACGCTGGCCGTACGGATCAAAGCGGCCAAAGAGATGACACGACTCGCCGAAGAGAATGAGAGGGCGTTGACAGCACTCGAAGGCATCAGACAATTGGCCGAAGACTCGGATGACAGCGAATCCGCGGCCAGTGTTGGCTCGCATGGAAAATAAGACAATGATTTAGTCATCGATAGTTGTATTAACTTTGAAATTGTGTAATACTATTATTTTATTCAATATTTGATTTGATTGTCTTATAATATGTCATAACATAAGTCGAAATTTTATAGCTTTAAATATAAATTGCGTTATAATTGTTATCAAAATTAGTTAACGTTGCGACCTCTAGAGGCATATGTGGAACTTCATTCCACCTACATAATATTTAACTTTAATACAATTAATACAGATTACAAAAAGTAAAATTATTTAAAATAGCAAATTTAATATGATTTGTATACTGATCTAATACATCTATCCTAAAGATCAGTGAATATTAAAAATTATTAACTTATAAATTATATTTAAAACTATTATTAATTATTGGCGTTCAAAATAAATTCATATATAATAAATTATTCTGATTAAACAGTTTAATATTATATAATAAAATTATAATTGATGCATAATTGATAATATCAACTTTATATTATAAAGTTTACAAGATAAGCATTATGAAATATATAATTAAATAAATTTAAATAAACTGATTTTGTATTTAGCCAACTGGGTAACCAGGTCTGTACCCAGGTAATTGATTGCCAGGTAGTTGATTGCCCGGTTGCCATCCTGGTTGGTAACCACCTGGTTGATTAGTATTTCTACAAATAGATCTACTGCCCGACCTGTAATAGCCAATGTTATTGCAGGTTTGCTGTGTGTACTGCAAACCACCTAGCATCATTTGGACATTATTCCAATTGCTTCCCATGGCTGCTTGTTCCTGGACTGTGCATGTTGACTAAATAGAAATTAATAAACATAATTAAAATTATATTTATCATTTAGTTCTTTGTATTATTCTTTATAGTTAAATATATAATAATTATTTTATAAATGAACCTGGACATTCGCTTGATAACAGTCGATTGTTTCCCATAGTACACAGCAATAGTAATACTGTGTATTGCTTAGGTTAGGCGCCGGGTATTTTGTGCACCGGTTATACATTTTGGACAAACATTGATTTATAAGGTAATTGAATTGACCATTGTTGTTGTTGTTATTATTGCCGATAATTGTCACTTGGTAATCTGATCCAATTGATCCGCTGATTGGATAAGTTGCCGATTGAGTTTTACAAACAATCAGGGTTAACACAAAAGTTATAATAAGCTTATTCATTTTGACTCAAATAAATTAATTTATTATAGTTATATTAAATCATCTTATAGCTATAAATAATTTTATATAATGTTACAAACTTTACCTGTATTTATAAGTTATAAACTATAATAGCAAGTGTATGATTGCTAAGTTATAATTGTATTAATTGGTAATTATTTATTATGTTGTCACAGGTATGTATTGTAATAATTTATTGCATACCGCTATGTGTGTATGAAATGATTAATTTATTGTTATATTACACTTAAAATATTTAGTCATCGGCTCATTTAGTCATCGGGTGCAGCCTCTGCCATACATTACATACAGTAAAGTTAATACAGAGCCGATGACTAAATAGGCCGATGACTAAGTATGGTTGCAGTTATTTATAACTATAGCATTGCACTAGTTATAATATTTGTTACCGGGTAAACGTGCCATTGTAAATAAATGATTATAGTAGTAAAAGTAAATTAGTTATATTTATATAACACGTTTGCAATAGTTTTAATTTGCAAAAGTTGCATTTTGAATATAATTACTGTAATGTAATTTAGGTGTTTGCAAACTGTAAACTTACTTTAATGTAGTGTCAAGTAAATACAATTTTATTTGATTAGTTAATAATTGGAAAATTCCATTCAAATAGTAATCATGCTAAAAATATGCTTTATTTAAATGAAAAATTAAAAATACAAAAAATGATATTAGCAAATAACAGCCGTACAACATTTAAAAATAAAATTAATCTTAATCAATATAATAAAATGTAAATAATAAATAAAATAAACGCCAGACAATTAAAAACAACTCGGTGTTAGAGCAATACGACTCCGGCCATAAGCACCCATAGCCAGGAGCTATTATGGATTAGGCCGTAGGCCGAGCCAAACACACACTGAAAGCCCATGGACTTAACCTCCCAATACTGTTTAGTAAGGCAGGCGCAGGTATGATTAGCCGGGTTAGTCATATCACACCGGCGATGTGGGTCCCACGCGGTGACGCACTCGGCGTCCAAGGTACATTTAAACGCCACACACTTCCCGGTCTTGTCATCCCAGCGCTGATTGGCCGGACACCAGCACTTGCCGCCCACACACAGCTCGCCCTTAGCGCAGGTGCCGTTGGCCGCAATGGCCTCGCCATTGGTCGCGTTGGCCACACATGGTTTGGGTACAAAGGGCTCGCACTTTAAACCATTAAGCTTGTTTTCGCGGAAGTCGTGGGTTAGGCATGCGCACTTTTTTGTGGGCTTATCGCACCGGCGGTTACGGTCCCACTCGGGCGAGCACTCGCCGTCCATAGTGCAGGGATGGGCTTTGCAGGTAGCTGTCAGGTCATCCCACTGGGTGTCCACTGCGCACCGGCAGTGGCCGTCAACGCAGGCCTCGGTTTTGCCGCAAGTCTTGGCGTCTTTACATATGGGAGCGACAAATGGCTCGCATTTGCGGCCGTTTTTGATGTTTTCCCTGAAGTCGTGCGAAAGGCACTGGCATTTGCCGGCCGGCAGTACACACTTGCGGTACTGATCCCACGGATGCGAGCAGTCTATACTTCCGGTGCACTTGTGTGCCGCGCATTTGCCCGTTTTGTCGTCCCAGTGGGTGTCCGGTGGGCACCGGCACTGGCCCTCAATGCATACCTAATCAAATAGTTCTATGTTAAAATGACTTACAGTATCTTATGAATGTTATTTAGTGTCGTTTTTTGTTAATGTATTGTAATTGAACTTATTGTTCATTTAATTGAAAGATTTTAATTTCATGTTAATTATGTTTAAAATTTTATGAAAAACAAATAATCCTTGTTTCATAAATTTTATCATAGTTATATTGAAATGTACTGTACAGTAAGTTACGATTAAATTAACTATTTTATAAATTAGTTAACTTATAAAATAGCTAAATTAAAATTAACTGAAACCAGACTCGTAATAAAATTTAACATGTAACTTTACAACACGTACCTCATCTTTGTTACAGGTCTTGCCATCTTTGCATACGTGGGCAGCGTATGGCTCACACTTACGCCCGTTTAGCATGTTTTCCCGGTAGTCGTCCGACAGGCAAACGCACGCGTTTAGGGTTGTGTCGCACCGGCGCTTGTCATCCCAGTGCGGCGCGCATTGGTTCATCTCGGTGGCGCATTTATAGGGCACGTACTTTTTGGTTTTGTCATCGTACCGAACATTGGGGGCAGGTAGGCAGTGGCCACCAACGCATACTTCCTATGTCGGTAGATAGGGTGTCCAAGATTAAATTTGATTTTAATAAAATGCACACAAAAATATGAAAAAATTAAATCATCCAGCAAGAAAAGTAAGATACACTATAATTTGATTAGTATATTAATTAAACCTAATCAATTATTATGAGTATATTAATCTAAAATAGTCTAATAGTAAAATTTTAATAAATCATATTTTGTGTATTTTTAAAAATGATTATCTGCCATGATCAAAAGTTGTTGGTTACGCTACCTGTGTGTCCTGACACTTGGTGGTGGTCGAGCAAGATTGTGTTATGTGCAACACACATTTGCGACCATTTTCAAGATATTCACGGTAACCTAGCGCGCACAGACACGAGCCCAATAGTTTGTCGCACACCCGGTCTGTTTCCCACAGCGTAATACAATCGTTGTCTGATTTGCACTTTAATGCCGTGCACTTACTCGTTGGGGTGGGTTTGTGAAAGTCGGGTGCGCACCGGCACTCGCTATTTACCAGCACCTCGTTGGGATCGGTGCATGCTGGTCCGGCCTGTAGGTTTGTCGTGTTGATAGCAATTATTATTTTTACCAGTTGAATGTAAATATAAATTAAGCATGATGCTTTCATGGTTGTGGTAAATGTGGTTATTTTTATTATATAAACTATTTTCAGAATTATTTAATAAATTTATTAAATATTTTTATTAAGCTTGTACAATATAACTTATATTATTGCAATAATGTATATTGGCAGCAACAATAGTTATAATAAACAAGCTAGTTGCTATATTCTATTAAATGGCTAGACAAAATAACTGAACTGGCTTTTATAGAAAATTTTAAATAGACTTTAATGTAGGTTAGTATTATATTTTTATGTAGGTGTTTAATATTTGTGGCATTTAGTGCATTGGTCCTGATGAGTCCAGTCGGAATATTTACGAAACTAAAATTACGTTTATGTAATAATTTATTTAATAATATATTGCATTATAAACAACTCAATGTCAAGTTCACCAGGTTAGAAGGCCAAATATTTTTAATATAATAGTTACATGCACAGTTAAATAATTTAATTGTAGAAATAATAGTTATTAAACTGACAACATTATAATTTAATTTATAATATGTCTAGCTATTTATTGCATTAATTGCCCACATTAAAACTTATATAATATATTACTATAGTATTTTTTATTGTACATGTTGAGTTAATTTTTAAATAAACAAAATGATTATGATCTATTTCAATAAATCTAATAAATCTTGATGGCACTAGATACTTAAACATTAAATCATAGAATTTTAGTGCAATGTATGTGAATTAACTGGTAATGCTTACAGTACAATATCGGGAAACTACATTTATTTAACGTATTTTATGCCAACTATTTCTAAAAGGTGCAAGTTTGCACAATTGCAAGTATGTGTGTATTTTTAATCGCCTGATCCTATAAACTAATTATATCCACCTAGATTTATTATTACCTCAAATTTTCACGTGTTAATTGTGAATCACCGTTTGACAATAGTCTGGAATATAAATTATAAACTATGTCAACAAGTGAAAAATAAGTAAATAGATCGAACGTAATTGTTTCAGAGCGAATAAATGAATATAATATTTTATGTTGCAATATTGTTGATAAATTATTTAAATTTATTAAGTTTTTAAAAATAGTTAAATAAACAATATTATTTGCAAAAATTCCTATTACATTTTATGTCTAATGTATTTAAATTTCATTTAAAACTACTGAACACATAACAAATGTGAAAAATATACGTTGTTTAATAATAAATATAATTAATAAATATTATTGTTTATTAACATTCTATATAGAGCCCAAATGGATCTCAGACTGATAGCCAAATTTTATTATGATATTAATTAAAACATTTATAAAACATTGATTTAATGCAAATATACAGTTCTACTTAGAACCACTTGAGGTAAATCATTGTTGTAAGAAAGCGGAGGGGAAGGGTAAGGGGGCGAACGATCCTATAAACCACATTCTTCATATATGAATCGTGGTTAAAAATTTGTTGTTAACAAGAAACAAAGAACATGTAATATATCAAATAATAAAAATATAGTAAAGTTATCCATAAAATAATTTATTTGTTTTTTTAAGTTTAAAGTCGTAATTCATTGTATATAATTAAATATTGTTTTTATTATAAAAACTAAATCAATATGTCAAAATGATTTATTATTTTCATAATGGTAATGAATTTTATATTCTGTATATTTGCTTATAAAATTTTTTTTACTGTATATTAAATTCATTTAAACTGTAACTATAGCGTTAATTAATTTATATTTATATTATTTTAAATAAACTATATAATTTTTGGCATTTCAAGAAATGAATGTTATAAGTTTTTATAAATTTTAAATGATGTCATAAATAACTTATGGACAAATTATTAATATAGTTATAATTAATACATACTATGTAAAATTGGCAGGGTAATGTTTAGAAAAATGTTGGTTGTTTTAAGTAAATTTTTAAAATGTTATGACTTTATGTGTATAAATAAAAGTAATGATGTATTGGATTACAATTAAGGACAAATAATAAGCTTATATAATTTAATATTATAAAATAAATTATTAAACTCATATATAACGAGAAACAGTTACAATAAATTCTAAATATAGTTTACATGATTAGTTAAGAACTGTAAACTAAATTCAAATACTAATTTAAAATTATATTATAAATAATTATAAAATAATTTTGGTAGGCGTTGTGTTATATTTTATTTATAAATTGTTGATATTATGAATATTTATCATCCTTATTTAAACAGCTACTTATATTGTGACGCATTAGTATAATATTTAGCATTAATTTTAAAAACCATTAAAATTTTGTTAATTTTAAAACTAAATTTATTAATACAGACTTTACATGAACTTCAAGGACATCTAATTTTTTTTAATTCACAGCAAATTAAAAATATTGTTACTATTGTTAATGCATTTATTATATTTAATTAAATCGTATTATGTGCTATGTGATGATACCATAAATTAATACATTTTTTTCATAACTGTTGATTTAAATATCATAACATGTTGGATTTACAGTTTACACGTATTTGACATGTGCTAATATTTGTTTTTATAATATAGTTTATATTTTTTTAATTAACAATTAATTATAATTTCAAGTGCTAAAAAACGTAACCATGTGTCTTTATTCAAACATATTTATTCATTGCTTTGAAGACAACTTTAATATTTGTAATAATGCATTATAAATAATTTTTTCTCTGCAAAAGCATCAAAAACGCATTATTTTTCAGTCTATATTAAATTCCCGTGTCGAGAATAGTAACCCAGGTTACTATTGGCTATAATATACATGGTGTACAGTGTATTGTATATTGTACTGGCCTTTACTCCTGTATAAAGTAATTACAATTTAGCCTTCGACATCCCAAATATTAACAATGTATTATTTCAAATATAAAATTTTCTAATTGAGTATACTTTGTTTACTAATAAATATAATAATTGATTAAGATTTTCATAAAGAATTGACCTAAAATCGTTTTTCCAGAAACCAGAATTATCATGATCTAAATTAAAACAATTATTAAACTTAGATTTTAATGCTAATATACTGTTTTAATAAAAATCACTTGAATAATTAATTGTTGTAAATTATTGCTCGGCACTCTGGTATACCTGGTATACTTAGTGTAGCCACATGCCCACTAAAATATATGGTTTAAATATATACATAATAGATTGATTAAATTGACAATTCACAGACATTTATAATTATATTTAACATAGAGAACACAACGTGCTTACATATTTTAAATCTACTTTAAATTGTGAGCAATTTTATCATTAATGAAATTGCTTAAAAATAATAAACCAAATTGTATTTGCACAAAAACTTTGAGATCACGTTTGAAAATATGATTATCTAATACTACCAAGTCAAATATTAATAAAATTAATGAAAATCGTAAATATTATCACAAATCTCATTAAAAATGTGATTTAAT